AATTAATAACTTCAGCTGTACATTTTACTTTAGTGCAATATGATGGGCCACTGCAATTATAATACATATCTTCACAGAATAAACTGTTCGAGAGTATAGATAACATAAAAAATGTTTACATTCATCACTATAAAAAGTATTCTTTTTCTGGTATTCTAATAGTTATGCATTTTTTTCATTTATGAATACTATATGTTGATTAAACAGTATGTTGCATGGGTATCACCTATTGTTGCAAGGAATATCACCTATGAATATGGGATATTAACATAAAATAGTCAATGTTATAGTGTTAAACTAGATGATATATTTCCCTTGTACTGAGAATGATTATTAACACAGTGTAATTTCATTTTAGTAAATTGTTCCATGTTAGACCAGTTACACAGGGTGATGTTTATAGAGCAGAAACTGAAGAAATACCCAAAATATTTCAGGTAAAGCGTTTGCTTATACAGTTTGTTCATTTAGTTAATGTGTATTTATATACCCAGGGACTGACACAAATCTTTACACTTTTTTGTTTTGGTTTGCTTTTGTCAGATCCTATATGCCAATGAGGGAGAGTGTAGAAAAGACTTGGAAGTAGAATCAGTACAGCCAGCAGAGAAGACAAATTTTCTGCATCATAAAGGGCATGAATTTGTCCCAACTTTATACCATTTTCCAGCCAATTGTGAGGCTTGTGCCAAGCCTCTATGGCACGTATTTAAGCCACCCCCTGCAGTGGAATGTCGGCGATGCCATGTTAAATGCCACAAAGATCACTTGGATAAAAAAGAAGAATTAATAGCACCATGTAAAGGTATGGCATGAAATGATTTTAATTATTGTTCAATGTGTTTCTAACAGTTTCAATACAGAATATGCAGGTATGAAGTTCTTGTTGAAATTGTTGACCTAAATCCTGTTTAATTTGTCAAATTTGGCTGGAATACAGTGTGTTTGGGTGTATGTATGTATGTGTATTTATATAAATCTAATTAAGATGGATTTACATTTTTGAGCAAGTATTTGTTACAGTGTGCTGTTTGTTTGGATCCAACCCGGTTTTTACTTTGAACCATTTAGATTCCTAAAATCACCTCATATTTCATCTCAGGAACAAATATGTACAGATTTGGAATATGCATTAAAAGTTAAGTGTTGCCTTTAAGGCTGCTATCATAAATATACTTACGTCCATGAATGTAGTTCAGGGTAAATTGAAATAGACAACCAAACAATACTTAGAATGGAATAATCCACCCAGAATCATCTTGTAGCGGGGAGAGCGGCATAATAAATAAAAAATAAAAGATGTATATATGAGTTGGACCTTTTCTATTTACCTTTAACACTCCAGTATACTATTCTGATTTCTAGTTAGGTCATTCATTAGCATGGCAGAGTAAACTAAATAGTTTATGTTTCAAATGAAACAAAATACAAACGTAAAACTACAGCTACACAGTTGAAAAAACTTGCTTTGGTCTATCATCAAAATAGCATTTTTTGAAAATAAATTCTATTACAGTTTTTTGGTCTGTTTCCAAAGGAAACAGGAGTTGTATGGTTCCAATGACCTTCCGACAAAGTTTCACATGAACTTTAACCAAATATAACTTTAGCATTTTGAGAAAATTCTGTGCCCATCTGGAATAGTGAAAGGATTGTATTGCTATTGCTGATCTTTTCATAATCTTGATGTACCTACATTTGGTTGACTTAGGAAAAACTATACCCAAGTATTTAAAGATTATAAGATTATAACTTGCTCTATTGTCTGATCATTCAACTATCAGGACAAACTCTACGATGCTGTGCAAAAATTGAGATCTTGATTTTACTATAATTGATCTCAAGTGCTTCCTTATTACAATACCTAGTAGGTAAGCTTCTCAGATGAATCTTTGGTTTTTATGACTCAGCACCAGAGTGTTAATGAAAGTTAGTAAGCTTTTAATCAAATAATTTGTTTTGTCTTTTATATTCTATGTATTTGAAATGCTATTTTTGTGCATCACTACAGACTTTCATTGGAAGGAAAAGCAGTGATAATTAATATGACTTACAAGCAAAACAAGCTATATATTCTTTTTTCTCAAACAGTTTGGCTTTGTTCATTTTTCCCCCAATAGTAAGTTATGACATAACTTCAGCAAGAGACATGTTGCTGTTGGCGTCCTGTCAGGAAGATCAGAAGAAATGGGTTTCTCATTTAATAAAGAAGCTCCCCAAAACACCACCATCTAGTTTTGTTCGTGCTTCACCGAGGACTCTTTCCACAAGATCTACAGCGAATCAGTCATTCAGGAAAGTTAAAAATACTTCTGCAAAAGCTAGGTGAGATATGAATAGACTACATTTTAATCTTTTTCCTAACAGAAACCAATTATAAATAGATTTTAATACAAAAATAGCAATCAAAATGATCAGTATATTAGAACATTGTTACATTGATGTAGATAAAGTCACGGTCAGTAATGGGGAATATAAAACATGAAATGTTTCTTCTGTAAATGTTTTGCTAAAGATAAATTAAAAGCCTGTGCTGGGTATACACAGTATTTTGTGTTTTCATGTGAAACCGGACATTATGGTTTGTTAATTATAGCTTATAGCTTGAAGCGCAATTCTCAGTTACTTAAGAGTCAATATTAAAATAAATAATGGCTGTACAAGCAATGTGCAGCATACAAACCCAGTCTTAGTATGCCTAGTATACTTTCAATCATATATGTAATACAGGTAGTTTTCAACTTACAACCACAATTGAGCCCAAACTTTCTCTTGCTAAGCAAGACATTAAGTGAATTTTGCCCCATTTTACAATCTCTCTTGCCATAGTTGTTAAGTAAATCACTGCAGTTGTTAAGTTAGTAACAGAGTCATTAAGTAAATCTGGCTTCCCATTGACTTTGCTTGTCAGAAGATTGCAAAAGAGGATCACAGAACTCCGGAATACTGCAACTGTCATAAATATAAACCAGTTGCCAAGCATCCAAATTTTGATCACATGACCAAGGAGATGTTGCAACAATTGTAAGTGTGAAAAATGGTCATGTCACTTTTTTCAGTGCTTTGTAACTTTGAACGGTCATTAAGTGAAGTGTTGTAAGTTGTGGACTACCTGTTTAAGATTTAAATTATTTCTTTATAAATAACGGTTACTCTTACATGGATACTCTGTGAATTATGTGAACTGAAATAAGCATCATTCATTCATTCATTCATTCATTCACTTACTCATTCACTCACTCACTCATTCAGTCATCCATCTTGTGTGGCCAAGTCTCTTATACAAAACAACCTGGACGTACCTGGTTAACATCAAATTGAAACAACTTTATAAAAACTACAAAAGACATGCTATAAAAGGCACATATCCTATCACTGATGTTTTTTGATAGAAGGAACTTGGAGCATACTTATATCTTGTAGGATGGGCAGCAATAATTGGAAATAGACAGTTTCACAAGTAGCCTGCCATGTGTCATTAAGGACTTTATAGGTGATAATCAGCTCGAATTACATCCAGAAACCCCTTGTGAATCATTGTGAATCATTGGTATTATATGGTTGTCTCAAGGTGCACTTGTAAAGTGCTTGAATGACTACACTCTGGACTATTTGTAGCTTCTGAGTGGTCTTTGAGGGCAACTGCATGTAGGCCACGTTGCAGTTAAGTCAAACAGGAGATGACAAGGTATAAGTAATCATGAGCAGGACTTCTTGAACCATGAATAAACACAGTTTCTACACAAGATGCATGAAGACGCTCCTGGGTGTGAGTGCCATCTGTTTCTCAAGCAGGAGCTGATAGTCTAGGAAGAGTCTTAAATTCTTTCTTGGAGAATGCAACCCCTTCTAGAACTAATTCCCAGTTCTAGGGGACATTAAAACTCACAGAAACTCAATCTTTTGATGGATAAACTAAACCCTGTTGCCTCACAGCCTGAGAGAAAACCATATGTGGAGAGTCCCAAACGTGCTTTTTCAGGAGGCAGCTGGACTTTCTTGTTTTTTCTTTTGAAGATGGTTCACTTCTCATCCAAGAAGCTTCTTAACCTCTGACAAGATAGTGGGGAATGGAAGGATTATATTCCTTGCAGACAGCTGATAATCTGTATCCTTTTAGAAGGTTGTTGAAACACTTGGAGGTTTATCTGTATCCTCAGGATCACCTGAATATAGTGCTCATGGTTCCTGTAGTCTGCATTTTTTCCCTCTGGAAATCCATTCCTACTCCCACACCATTCAAGGCTGTTCATTCCAAATTGTATAGCTAAAAGTAGTGAGTACTAGTGCTTCTGGTCACCTGAGTAGTGCTCCTGGTCTCAGGTGACTCTGACGACACAGATAAACTTCCAAGTGCTTTATCCTCTGAAAGGATGCAGATTACCAGCTAACTGCAAGGAATATAAGTCTTTCCATTCCCCACTATCCTGTCAGAGCTGAAGAAGCTTCTTGGATGAGAAGGGAAACATCTTCAAAAGAAAAAACAAGAAAGTCCAGTTGCATCCTAAAAAAGCACCTTTGGGACAACCATGACCTGGATGACTGAGAATCTCTACAGACCATATGCTGAGAGAAAACCTTGATTGCATTATTTAATTGGCCAGGAGTATAGCAGATTATCATCAGCACATTGATGAGACAACCTCATTCTGATGGATGACTTTACCGAATAGATATCAAATAGGCATGGGGGAATGAATAGAACTCTAAGGACATATGCAAAATGGGCATAAGTCTGGATTTTTCCTTATCCACAACCAACAGGAATTGGCCTTGGAGGAAGGAGAACCACTACAGTTTCATGACTCTCATTCTAAACACATTTAAACCTATCCAGAACCATACCATAGTAGATGGTATTGAAGATTGCTGATCTAAAAAGATCATGATGCACCACCCCATCCCAAATCCACCATAAATCATTAGTAAGTGTCATCAGTTCTATATTGGTATGGTACCCAGGTCCAAAACCCAACTAAGAAGTCTCCAGATAATCTTTTTGTGCAGGACCTCTGCAGCCAATTTTCTCAACAATCTTTAGAAAGGATAGGTTGAAGACAAAACAAATTTTCTTTAGTACCATTGGATCCAGCAATGGCTTCTAGAGAAAGGGGTGATTCAAATGCTGATTGAATTATCATCTGAAGATTTTATCACTACATGCATCCAACCATATGTTTCCAAGGAGGCCTTGGTTAGTCAGGAGGGCCATGGATTTAATACAGAGATTTATAGCCCCAAGAACTCCATCCACTTTCTTAAGAATAACAGTCTCACTCTCTTTCCATATATTAAGATAAACTGTGCCACAGTCAACTAACTCCATAGGATCTGCCTAGTTGAAGTTTAGTTCAGATTAAATTTTTATCAACCATATATTTTGAATAAATCTCAGAAGTTCCTATTGAAGTTTCCTTGCCCACTCTCTTCTCAGGAGGCCCTGAGTTACCTTGAACAGAGCCAAGAGCTAGCTAACTGCAGACAGGATAACAATGGAAAAATCATTTTGTGTTACTGTTCTTATTAGCACAAGGTAATCCTTAATAAAGGTTTTACCTGCTTTTGATTAGATTTGTTCTTCATCATGCTCAAGTGGGACTCTGGGCATCTTTTTTGTCATTTCAGGCTTCCTCTGAAATCCAAGGGTCTCTCCAGAATCCACAAACAGGCAGAGTAACCTGCTTATTTCACTGTCATCTTATTTCACTGTCATCAACTAGATGACTATCTAGTTCCAGGCAGTGACTAAAGCCTCAGTCAAACTGCATTCCTCTAAAATGCAGGTGCCTAGGACAGTACAATCTCTTGTGGGGGGGGGCAGATGTGGAGAGTTCCAAGGCAATCAAACCACTCTATCATGAAAAGAGATTGATGACAGCATTCTCCACATTCAGTTCACTTCATTCCATGGACCTGCTTAAAGTCTATGGTTACCATGGTGGCCATGAATTCCCAAATTACCTCTGAATTCATACCAAGAGAAGGCATATCTAAATCTTCCAGTACCATAAATCTAGGGACCTCATCTGCCGATTTACCAGCTTAAATATCAAAGCTGCTCTGCTACTAATTATTCTTGCCATAATTTTTTTTAGTTCCTTTGAAGTATCACCTCTGCTTTTACAATAACAAAAGATACCGTCTTTTAAAAGTCATTTTGATCCCATTTTTATTTCATCTCTTCCATCATTCCTTTTGCTTCATTTGCACACTGTGCAGTTTTTATTCAATCATGATTCTTAACAATAATGATTCTGAAATCACAGAAGTCATGCAAAGTTTTTTTTTATTTCATTTTGTGAAGGTTATGTTAATGACCAAGTTTCTCAACTTCTTTCTTATAGCACAACTGCTTTTACTTTATTTAGTATTATTCTAGGACATTAGTGCATGCAGCATTCAATTAAACATTATTCAACTGTAATTTCTGTAACATCCTTCAGATTTAATATTGTAGATTTTGCTGTTTATTATTTGTCAGAAAACAGGACTGTTGATAGATGTTTACACTGATATTTTTTAAAAATGTACTCTTTAGATATAAAACTGAAATAATACTTAAACCAAATATTGCTACCTTACTTAAAAGCTGTATTGCTACTGTTAAGTCTTATTTTTTAATAGAATTTGCAGCATCTTTAGCATTTTCTACCTGTTACTGACAGAATTCTTACTGGTTTACCTATCTAATCCTAGACATGACTTTTCATCATATAGAGTGCTATATCACTTGAGATAAGGTAGGTGCTATGCATAAATAAAGTTTTGACTGTGGCAAAAATACGCAGAACGGATGAAAATCCATATGAAATCTGCACTTCTCCCAAACATTCTAAGAGAGTAGGGATAGGCACAGGGATAGAAAAAATCAGAGTAGAACAGAACTTTATTTGGCCAAGTATGATTAGACACACAAGGAATTTGTCTCGGTACATAAGCTCTCAGTGTATATGCAAAACAACAGAGCAATAATAATCATAATAATGATACCAATAAAAGAAGGTGGTAGAAAAGATGAGAAGGATAATAGTAGGATCCAATCTGGGTTGGTCACTAGGACCAGAGGTTTAGTTTTCCGAGCTTTCAACCTCATGCTGGAGCCCATCCGCAGGAACTTCTCTCTACATCTATAAAATCATCTATATTTTTCTAAAAAAAATTACTAACCAGATCTAACAAGATTCTTTGGGAACAACAGTCCATGTATGTTCTTAGCTCTTTCATCTGTGAATCTCATTCCTAGGCATTTTAAAATCTTGATCTCTTAAAATATCTTGGTTTTGCATTATTTACAAAACCTAAAACTTCAGTTTAAAAGAGATATTTTTTCTTCACTTCATCAAAACTATTCATTTGTTGTTGTTTCTCCTCTTCTTTTTGTTTCCTACTCATGAATTCATATTTTGGATTGATCTCTCATTTTACTCTGTTTCAACATTCAGATCACTTCTTATTTCACAAAGCATACAGTTAGCAGTCAGGGCATATGGCAATTATCATGAAATGTTAATTTCTAAATTTCAATAGGTCAAAGGAATATGGATCTGTGGGGGACATTACTCATTCAGAGAATTCAAGTTACTGGTGAGTAGCTTTTGCTTTTAAACACACTAGTACTTGTGTCATGTAACAAAAGTAAGAAAGCACAATTACTTTCATCAAATAATGAAAAAGGAACGTTCTCAAAGTAAAAAAAACCTTCACCTTAATATTTCTTAGGCTCTTGGGGTTCTTTTTAAAGAAATCTATTACCTTTGCTTCCCTTGGTCCTTCTATATCATTTGCTCAAAATCTTTGTTATGCTATATTGTTCTTTTTGATACTGTTTGTAACAGAACAGTATGTGTATCTTCAAAACAATCTTAATTCTGCTATGTATGGCACGGTGATGGAATCCTATCTTGTAAAAAGTACATTTATTTCTCTTAGTACTTTTTACTGCTTCTCTATCTTATGGGTAAATGTATCTTTGTTATCCACAACCTTATCTAACATTAAGTTAAAAAAGTTAAAAGTTCACTGTAATTCTGATCAACATACTTAGGGCATTGCTTAAAATTAAATACATTTCATGAGTAAGTAAGATAGAGTTCGAAAAAATATTCCATCAAAGTAATTTTGATTATGCCAGTCTTTTTGTAGATAGAAAAGAAAAAGTCAGTACTATTATATCATTTGCAATTTGAATGTCGGACTTTTTTCATTTTCCTCAAGAAGTTTAAAGCATTTTACCTGGACTTTCAGATATTTTTCAGACATTGCTTTCTAAAAACTGTTCAAATATTTCAATTAGTACAGACTAGGATGCAAACTCATTGAGGCAGGCCTTCCAATTTTATTCAGTTTTGTACAATCTTCTTGCACTTAAAATCTAATAAATTTGTGCCACAACTGAACTATACATCCAGCCATAAATAGTTTAAACATTACATTAGTCATGAATTTCATTTTTCTTAAGAAAATATTTTTAGGTCTTTCTTGCCCCTTTCTCTTCCCAATTCTGCCAAGAATAATGTTAATCTTCCTTTGTGATTCTGAATTGTTTATCAATCCTGGTATTATATATAAGAGAAGTACAAATTCAGGTACAAAATAATCTTATTTAAATACTGAAAAGTAAATAGCTTTGCATAGTAAAGTAGGAGTCAAGATTATACAAGATAATTTTGGTAGGTTCTGGTAATTTTAATATGGAAAATTGAAAGAAGGGACACCTGCTCACAATAATGAAAATACTTTAACATGACTTTGAGAAACAGACACATCTTGCTTTGGCTCAAATAACCCAGTGGGACAATTATTAATATTTAAATTTCTGCTACCCAATTGAAGAACATAACCACAATGAAATGTTTTAGAAACTGGACTTAAAAGGGAGTTTTGTTATTTATACAAATGAGCAAAAATAATAAAAATCTGGCACAACTGTTTGTTCCTCCTGTGAAAAGTTCCTGGGAACAGAAGTTTCAAAGTTTAATATTATTTATATCCTATATTTATTATTTTTATGAATAACTCAAGGTGGTGAACTACTCTTTCCTCCTCTCCACTTCCCCACACCACCAATAATCCTATGAGGTGGGTTGGTGCAAGAATAACAGAGTTGGAAGGGACCTTGGAGATCTTCTAGTCCAACCCCCTGCTCCAAAGGGAAGCCCCATACCATTTTAGAAAAATGTTTGTCCAATCCCTTTTTAAAAATATCCAGTCTTAAAGCACCCACAAACTTCTTGAAGCTAGTTGTTTCATTGATTAATTGTTCTAACTATCAGAAAATTTGTCCTTGGAGTTGGCTCCAAGGATTAGTTCTTTAATTTGATTAGTTTCTTTAAAAACAACAAGAACTGAGGTGATCACAAAATCATGCAAACTCTCTAACTCTCATTACTATTAAGGAAATGCATTAACTATGAAAAGGTTCTGGCTTTCCCAACATGAACACTTCACAAATATTGCTCTTATGCTTTAGTTTAAAAGGAAAAAATTGTTTCTTAAATCTATAATATCATATGAAATAATATAATAAACATTTGTAATTCTGGCTTTTTGTTTTGTCTTGTTTATTCCAGTTAACAGTAGATGCAAGCTTCACGGATCATGGTGCAGTCTGAGAATGGTGGACTTTTTTCACCATATAGAAGTGTTCAGACTGGTTGTTCTTTCCGATACAACTTTCACAAGCTTCAGGGCTAAGACTGCTGTTACTCACTCCTCCTTGCTTTGGCATAAAAAGCTCGCTGAGGGTATCTTATTGCGGGTTTGCCTTAAGGTAGATTAGATTAATTATTACTATGTAATGCAAGTAAAAGCAAATAAAGCTTAGGATTAGTGCTGCCTTTAGAAATTCCTGAAAAATAAATGCTTGTCAATCTTAATGGAATGTGGTAAGCTTTTCTCATATCAGTGAGAATGAGAGAACTATTTACCCTATGAGAGGGGTATTTATATTGGGATAAGCACATAGGCTTGAATATGGAAAGAAGGTATCTCAAACTGAGAGAAGCTGAAATTTTCATGGAAGACTCGAAGTTGTGCTAAAGCAGCAAAATTTGCTTGAAAACAAAGCCTTATGTAATCACTTGAACTTCAGTGCCTTTTCTGTATTGTTATTAATGCTAATCATTCGTGATAGCTCAAAGTATTACACGGTTTGCTTTACAAAATATTAATTTCACATATTGGTAAAGGAGGAGAAAATGAGTAATTAAGATAATCTATGCATTATTGCCAAGCCATACAGAATTGTTTTTCAAGTGGCGTTAGAAGTAACTGTTAAAACAACGAAGTTTTGAAGTGTATTTCGGTTCATAATTGTTCAGTTGTGTTTGTATAACATGTTTCATTTAATAATTTGAAGTGTGAATCACAGTAAGCATACACATATGTATATGTATGCTCCGTTTAACATGTAAATTATTGTTAGAATATTTTTATTGGTTGTTGTTGCCCTTTTAGTGCCTTATTCTGAGAATTCTTTTACTGCCATGTCAAATGAGTTTAGAAATTTAAAATACCTATTGCTGTTGTCAGTAGTTTTATTGATTGAAGTATTGTAGGATCTAGCTCCATTTTCAGTTGTACAATCTTGAATAAAACTGTTGGTTACCACAAGATAATTTAATCATAATACAAATAGTAATAAACACTTTTACAGTGAAAACAAGTTAAATCTCTTAACATGTTAAAATTCCAGGTAATACAGGAGTTGAATACTTTTTAAATTTTTGTCTTGTAGCAGGAATATTATGGTATTAACCGTATGATTTATTTTATTTCTTAACCAAATACCTCTTTAGTAATTTATAATGGCTTTGCAGTTATGTATTAAATAAGAAGCACTGGAAAAAATGATTCGTCTTCATGGCGATTTGCATGTTTCAAGTGGTGTTGAAAGCCTTAGCAATAGATATGCAATAAGCATATCTGTTAATCCAGCAGTAATGACTCGTGCTCATTTAATACAAAATAAAACTAATTTATGAAATAATTATTTTGAAAATGACTGTGGTATTTTCTCCAGAATACAGTTCCTAGGAAGATTTGTTATACTTTACAGATGACCAAGTGTTAGCATATTTAAATCTGATGCTACTTGATAATTTTTTTAAAATTAAATTTTTATAATGTCATACTACATTTTAATACAGGGTAAAATAGTAGAAATCGCATAGGATATTAAAGTACTTGTTTTGATAATTAAATTGTTAAAACCATTTACTAAGCACATAATGATTTCCATCAGAAGCCTTATACCAGGTACACAGCTCTTACAATATTATATTTACATGAATTTTACTTTATGCATAAACCATCATTGTTAATAAAAATATGTTACATTGATTTCTGCCATCTGGAAATCAGTGGTATTGCTCTGTTACTATATACAAATAATATGGACTCTAGCAAAGCTTAGGTGGGTAATAAGAATTGAGAGAAGATTGACAATGAATGCTGAAAAGTTAAAAGAGGTTAGGAAAGTGTAGTTAAAGAAGGCCAGAGAAATTTGATTTTGTCAAAGCGGTCTGAGAAAAGAGGAGAGTGTTTGAGATAAGAAGGCAAAAGACTGTGGGATGACTGACATGTAGTATGAGAAGATCAGCAAGTGGAAAGAAGGAACGGGGGGAGGACTGGTGTGCTTGAGATAGTACAAAGCCAAAGAGATGGGACGAATAGGCATAGAACTGTAAAGTTTTGTTAACTGATTCAGAGCTTGGAAAAGGGTCCACAGATTGGTTAGACAGACTGATAGTCTATAGCAGGGATGTCAAACTCATGGCCCACAGGCCGGATGTATCATGCACTAGTCACCCCACCCCTGGTTTAGCAAAGGGGAGAAAAGTTGCAATACATCACGTGACGATATGACACTGCGAGTTTGACACCTCTGGTCTATAGTGAAGAAGAAACTTACCTCGAGAAAAAACTGAGAAGATAACCAAGGATATGGTTACTGAATTTGTTTGCTTCCTGGTTAAAACCAGCAGAGTGAAAATATATGGAATATTTTGAGCTTGAATTGCTCTACAATATTCAAAATGGAAAACAGCTGCCCAAGCTGTTGTACAAGAGTTCTGATCTCTAAATGGTACCATTTTGAATTGGAAACATTTTGTCAGAATAATGGCAGAATGTTTCTAATAAGGTTCAGAACAACCCATTTCAATCTTGAATTGTTTTATATTCTTCTAATTAAAACTTTAAAATTAAGGGGTTTTTAAAAAGCAAAATGACTGTTTCCATTAAGACAAAATAGAATAAGTTTGATTTTAAAAAAAGAAGGTTGCAATTTTCAGTGTTCTTACCATTATTTACAATTTCAGTAAATGGGATGAGTGATACCTAACAGGAAGACAGAAATAATCTAAACCATGCATACCCAAATAGTAGCTTAATAACACCAGAACTGACATAGAATTATATATTATAGGGAGAGGTATATTAATGCAGAACAATATTAGCCCATCTATGGAATGTTGCCATGCATTCTGGAGAATTATGCCTAAGCCCAAAATTTAGAGTGCTCAATTTGTTCAATCTCCAGGGGCTATTTTTTATAACATTGAAGAATTCATTCCTGTTATGTGTAATTGTAATCAACTAATCATGCCTGGTTGTGAATTTGGTGTTAAGTCCCTCCCTGCAGTGTCAGTAAAATATGTGTTTTAATGCAACAATTTCAACTGTATAATGTATCATATTCTGTATTTTTAGTACTGTTAAATTTTCATTTTGATGGTTGGTTCTTTGGTATTCCTCAACCCATATGTATATATTTGTCACCTTATAAATCCATGTCATGAATCATTTGGAGTAGCTGTTGCCTGTAAAACATTATGCTGCAATAAAATAAACCAATGAATCTTTGAATTGCCAAGAAAGTTGTTTTAGTGCTCCATGGCTGTTTCTGAAGTGTGCTTTCAATAATTAGTAGGGGAGAAAACCTATCCAATATCACATCTTTGTAACACATTTTATCTTGTTAAAAATCATAGTGGACATCAAAATCAAAAAACAAATTTATTGAACGTTTTAATTGTTTTTTAAATTTTGCGGTGGATGTGGGGGAAGGAGAGGGAATCCAAGATGGCCAGCTGGGAGACAGTTGGAGCAAAGGTTTTTAAGAACATTCTTTTTTAAAAACAAGACAAGCAAAACTTTGCATTCAACAACCTTTAAAAGAATTTGCTTCTGCAATAAGCACCAGCAATGTAACATATTTATGTATTTCTTTCCTGTATATTTTATCATATTATTTTCTTCACATTAAGGAGAAACCTGTTTGAGGAAGAGTGAAAGAAGAATGCAAGTGTGAGTGGAAACACTCTCTAAGCCATTAGCCTGACCATACACATATACACACTCCAACCTATCCTCACAGGCTTGTTGGGAAAATAGGAGGGAGGGATATTGCATATGCTTGATACTTTGAGTTACTTATAAAATAATAAGTTGCTTATTACTTATAAAAATAATAAAGGCAGGATAAAAATAGATATTTATATTTTTCCTTTTGGGGATTCCCTACTGCTGTCCCTTTTACAACACTGTAGTAGTGTTGATTTGTGATCATATCAAATTGACTACAATCCTCAACATATTACCATAGTTGGGATCAGAATTTTCATTGCTTAGCAAGACGGTGGTGAAATGAATTGTGCTCGATTTTATAACACTTTCTTTTTGCCAGTTAAGTGAATCATGATCATTAAGCAAATCCAGCTCCCCATTGACTTAGTAAGAAGTCACAAATGATTCTGTTTTGTTGGGATGCTCCAACTGTCATAGATGCAATGCAAGTGCTCCAATTTTGATCACATGACTGTGAGGATGCGGTAACAGTCCTCACTTTTTTCAATGCTTTTGTAGGTTCAATTGCTAAACTAACAGTTGTAAATCAAGGATTATCCATGTCGCAGAAAATACATTCAGATCTTCTCTAATCGAGACATTTCAACTTTGCCTATACTTGTTTGAATTAAGTGTTACCAGAGTGGTATCTTTTAATGCATTTAATTTTGCAAGCATTTTACTTCAACAAAGTTCTCACTGCAATGAGATATTCAAAAGAAATTTGTAAATCACTGGAAATACAGTTTCATAATTAGCATTTTCTAAATTAGTCTAATGTAAACTGCCAAAGTCTATTGAGACGCCCGATAGCCAAAATGCTATTTTGCATTACAGGCCAGATTTTGTAATCTAACAAAAGCCACACACATTACTGTCATAAAAACATCAGATTTACAAAGGGGTAACTCAGTATATTGCTATTATATTCTGTTGCCTAGTTCATGCTGTGTTGTGGTTACTATAAGATAAAATAAAAACTTGCTTAATTGTAGTTTATGCCAATTAGTGAAATCTCTGAATTGGTTGGATACAGAGAAAAAAGTTACACAGGATCTTTGTTTTCATGTGTTTGGTAACGCCAAGGAAGAACAATTTAACGTTAATCTAAATTAATTTAGAATCTGTATGGGTCTATAGATTAATAACAGTGCAGTTATTTTTTTGAATTTGATGGTTCCCGAAAGAGTTGCACTTCAACACTTATCAACCCCCAACTAGATTGTGAATGCGCAGATTTATTTATTTGATTTGTCAATTGCTTACAAGGTAATTGGTATAAATATAAACATAGTTATGAATACATGAAATGGATACATATAAGAAAAATAAAAAGAAACAATAGGAGAGGAACGGTAGGCACGTTGGTGTGCTTATGCACGCCCCCTACAGACCTCTTAGGAAAGGGGTGAGGTCAATAGTAGAAAGTCTAAGGTTAAAGTTTTTGGGGTTTGGGGAAAAAACCACAGTCAGGTAGAATATTCCAGAAATTGACCACTCTGTTGCTGAAGTCGTATTTCCTGCAATCAAGTTTGGTGCGGTTAACCTTGAGTTTGTATCTATTGTGTGCTCTTGTATTGTTATAGTTGAAGCTGAAGTATTCATTGACAGGTAGGACATTGCAATGTATGATTTTATATACTATTATTTAGATTGGACCGAAGGTGACGTAGTTCTAGATTTTCTAGGTCTAGAATTTCGACTCTGGTGGCATAAGGTATTCTGCTATGAGTAGGAGTGGAGAACTCTTGTGAAATATTTCTGGACTTTCTCAACTGTGTTAATATCAGTTACGTCATGTGGGTTCCAGACATGAGCTGTATTCAAGTATTGGTCTAGCAAATGTTTTATATCCTCTACTTATTAGTGTGATATTTCCAGAGAAAAAGCTAGGTAGGATTAGGTTAATAATTCTTAATGCCTTTTTGGCTATGTAGTTACAGTGGGGTCTAGCACTTAGATCATTAGAGATAAGTACCCCAAGGTCCTTGACAGAGTTTGGATCCTCAACAACCTCTTGACTATTCAGCTTGTATTTTATTTTCTGATTTTTTTTTTGCCTATATGTAAGACAGAGCATTTATTTGTTGAGATTTGAGGTTGCCATTTGTTTGACCATTCTGATACATAGTCAAGATCTTTTTGAAGGGTAGCAGTATTTTCTGTGGTGTTGAATAGCTTTACATTATCAATGAAGAGAACGCAGTTGCTACATCTTTAATTTCCCCGCCCATTTCACTAGATTAGGCTTTCCAAGCCTGGCAACTTTAAGATGAAGTCCACAAGTCTTAAAGTTGCCAAGTTTGGGCACCCCTGCTCTAATCCCTTGTTTTAGTGACACCAGTAGCCGGAACCAGTCAAAAGAAAGGCTGACAGAGCACAGGGAGGAAGAAGAAGAAGAAGAGAAAAAAAAACGGGCGGGAGAAACCTCCGTCTCAAGCGCAACGAAACCCAGGCAGCCTTAGGCCCCATTTCCTTCCTAGTTGTAGTACCTCCAGCGAGCAGAGCCGAGGAGGAGGAGGCGGCGGTGCCTTTTCCGGAGCTGCGTGCGCAGCCATCCGCGCTTGCAGCGTCATCCTGAGGGGCCGGTTTGAATAAGACCCCGAGGGAGGGAGGGAGGGAGGAGGAGGAAGCCGCCGCGCTGCTAGAGCTCCGTCTTGGGTCTTGAGCTAAGCTCGTTCCCCTTGCTTGCTTACCCCGCCAGCCATGCCGCTTTTCACAGGTGAGTCTGGCCAGCCGCCTCTCGCGAATGCGGGACTCGTCCCCCGCCTCCCGAGGGCCTAGTTCGGCCTCCGAAGCTGCAACAGGGTCTTTGCGCTCTCCTGCCCTTCGCTGAGGCAGGAACTGGCGGCGGTAGGGAGGGAACGGCCCCAGAGCAGGGCTTTGGCGAAGGAAGGCCGGGGTAGACGGCGTGCTTTCGTGCCGCCCCTGTCAAGGAAGGATTGCCTTGATGGTGAAAGGTGGGAAACATCGGCGGGAAGGAAAGGGCGAGGAGAAAACGAGGCTGCCCGAGGCGTGGTTGGTTGTGTGTGTGTGTGTGTGTGTGTGTGTTTAAACAACCGTGGTTGGTTGTGTGTGCAATCTCAACCTCGCACAGGCCTTGATTTTGCTAGGTGATTTTGAAAGAGGGGTAGTAGTCGGTCATGTTAAAGCCCGGATTTTCTTTGGAGCAAACCTGCAAAAGGTGGAACTTGACCAGAGTAATTTTATCCCCACCCACCCCCGCCCCCATTCAATTATGGGTGCATTTGAAGATTATTAGCAAGGGTCATATATTTAACAAAATAGGGAAATGGATCTGAATGGTGAGAAAACCTAAGTACTGCCATGATTCAGCTGTTTCAGGGACTTCAGCTCTTGTCATTCTCATTTAGTAATATATTTGTGCTTTTGTCTTGTAAAAAGTAAAGATGAAGTTCTATCATAAAAATAGTGATGATGCTGTCGTTGGGACCTAATGCATTTGTTATTCTCAAACTACAGGTAGTCCTCGATTTATAACCATTTGTTTAGTGACCATTTGAAGTTCCAGCAGCACTGAAAAAGGTGACTTATGACCATTATTCACACTTAGGACCATTGCAGCTTCCCCATGGTCATGTGATCAAAATTCAGGTGCTTGATAGCTGATTCATATTTATGATGATTGCTGTGTCCCAAGTTATTGGTACACTGAGAGCATATGCACCAAAGACAAATTCCTTGTGTGTCCAATCACATTTGGCCAATAAAGAATTCTATTCTATTCTGTTCTAATGTGATCACCTTTTGAGGCCTTTTGACAAAAATCAATGGTGAAGCCAGATTCACTTAACAAACGTATTATTAACAACTCTAGAGATTCGCTTAACTGGCAAGAAAGCTCATAAAATGGGGTGAACTCACTTAACAGCTGTCTTGTTTAGCAACAAATGCTGGGTTCAATTGTGGTTATAAGTTGAGGACTACCTGTACTTGTAAATTCCAAGCCTATAACTTTTGTTTTACCAAGTAGTATGTTATCAGGCATAATAAACAACATAGTCTCCCAGACAAGAAATAGTATAAAGTGAGGGAAGGCTTGTTTAGAGAATTAATTCTGTGTGTACCCTGCAATGAATTCTACCACCTATAGGAAAGGGAAGCAAACAATCATATTTAAAAGCTGGTTTTCAAAAGATCAAATAGATCCTGGAACAAAATAGTGTTCACGTAGAGCAGGGCTGTCAAACTCGTGGCCTGCGGGCCGGATCCAGTTTAGCAAAAGGGGAAAAAGTCATGTGTCACAACATGACGACACCATGATGATGCGAGTTTGACACCCCTGTTGATTTCTCACAGAACTCAGATGAGAAGCATAAAAGAAAGAAAAGGGATTGTATTTCACTCCATGTTATTTCAACTCCTATATAACCAAATGTTACTCATGTAGAAATAATGTAGGAATAGCATATGATGCATGCTTCCTTAGAAATTGGTGTTATCAGTTTTAACAATATGTTATATGAATGTAAATTTGGTATTTCAGTAAAGACTCCTCTTATTACA